TGAGAGAAAATGTGTGAAATGAGAACTGTGATGAATGAGAAATAAGAAACTCGAGGAATGAGAAATGTGCCAAATGAGAAAATATGAGATAGAAATACGAGAAATGAGATCTGTGAGAAATGAGAGTGAAAAATGAGAGGCGTGAGCAATGACAAACAAATGAGCAATGGAAATGAAGATGTGAGAAATGATAAATGAGAAATGTGAGAAATTACAAATACGAGAAACGGGAAATGGGAATAAATGAAAACAGTGAAAAATAAGAAACATGAAGAATAAGAAATGTGAGAAATGAGAATTGTAACAAATGAGAAGTGAGTATAATTGAGAAAAGTAAGAAATAAGAATTGTGTGGGATGAGAAATATGAGAAATGGGAAAACTGAGATATGAGAAATGTGATGAATGAGAAATAAGAAACGCGAGGAATGAGAAATGTGCCAAATGAGAAAATACGAGAAATGAGATGTGTGAGAAATGAGAGTGAAAAATGAGAGTCGTGAGCAATGAGAAAGAAATGAGCAATGGAAATGAAGATGTGAGAAATGATAAATGAGAAATGTGAGAAATTACAAATATGAGAAACGGGAAATGGGAAGAAATGGGAATAAATGATAACAGTGAGAAATAAAAAACATGACGAATAAGAAATGTGAGAAATGAGAATTGTAACAAATGAGAAGAAATGAGTATAAATGAGAAAAGTAAGAAATAAGAATTGTGTGAAATGGGAAATATGAGAAATGGGAAAACTGAGATATGAGAAATGTAATGAATCAGAAATAAGAAACGCGAGGAATGAGAAATGTGCCAAATGAGAAAATATGAAATGAGAAATACGAGAAATGAGATCTGTGAAAAATGAGAGGCGTGAGCAATGAGAAAGAAATGAGCAATGGAAATGAAGATGTGAGAAATGATAAATGAGAAATGTGAGAAATTACAAATACGAGAAACGGGAAATGAGAATAAATGAGAACAGTGAGAAGTAAGAAATATGAAGAATAAGAAATGTGAGAAATGAGAATTGTAACAAATGAGAAGAAATAAGTATAAATGAGAAAAGTAAGAAATAAGAATTGTGTGTAATGGGAAATATGAGAAATGGAAAAACTGAGATATGAGAAATGTGATGAATGAGAAATAAGAAACGCGAGGAATGAGAAATGTGCCAAATGAAAAAATATGAGATGAGAAATACGAGATATGAGATATGTGAGAAATGAGAGTGAAAAATGAGAGACGTGAGCAATGAGAAAGAAATGAGCAATGGAAATGAGGATGTGAGAAATGATAAATGAGAAATGTGAGAAATTACAAATACGAGAAACGGGAAATGAGAATAAATGAGAACAGTGAGAAGTAAGAAATATGAAGAATAAGAAATGTGAGAAATGAGAATTGTAACAAATGAGAAGAAATGAGTATAAATGAGAAAAGTAAGAAATAAGAATTGTGTGTAATGAGAAATAAGAAACGCGAGGAATGAGAAATGTGCCAAAGAGGAAATATGAGATGAGAAATACGAGAAATGGGATTTGTGAGAAATGAGAGTGAAAAATGAGAGACGTGAGCAATGAGAAAGGAATGAGCAATGGAAATGAAGATGTGAGAAATGATAAATGAGGAATGTAAGAAATTACAAATAAGAGAAACGGGAAAGGGGAAGAAATGGGAATAAATGAGAACAGTGAGAAATAAGAAACATGAAGAATAAGAAGTGTGAGAAATGAGAATTGTAACAAATGAGAAGAAATGAGTATAAATGAGAAAAGTAAGAAATAAGAATTGTGTGGAATGGGAAATATGAGAAATGGGAAAACTAAGACATGAGAAATGTGATGAATGAGAAATAAGAATCGCGAGGAATGAGAAAATATGAAATGAGAAATACGAGAAATGAGACTGTGAGAAATGGGAGTGAAAAATGAGAAAGGAATGAGCAATGGAAATGAAGATGTGAGAAATGATAAACGAGAAATGTGAGAAATTACAAATATGAGAAACGGGAAATGGGAAGAAATGGGAATAAATGAGAACAGTGAGAAATAAGAAACATGAAGAATAACAAATGTGAGACATGAGAATTGTAACAAATGAGAAGAAATGAGTATAAATGAGAAAAGTAAAAAATAAGAATTGTGTGGAATGGGAAATATGAGAAATGGGAAAACTGAGATATGAGAAATGTGATGAATGAGAAATAAGAAACGCGAGGAATGAGAGTGAAAAATGAGAAGCGTGAGCAATTAGAAAGAAATGAGCAATGGAAATGAAGATGTGAGAAATGATAAATGAGAAATGTGAGAAATTACAAATACGAGAAACGGGAAATGGGAAGAAATGGGAATAAATGAGAACAGTGAGAAATAAGAAACATGAAGAATAAGAAATGTCAGAAATGAGGATTGTAACAAATGAGAAGAAATGAGTATAAATGAGAAAAGTAAGAAATAAGAATTATGTGGAATGGGAAATATCAGAAATGGGAAAACTGAGATATGAGAAATGTGATGAATGAGAAATAAGAAACGCGAGGAATGAGAAATGTGCCAAATAAGAAATATGAGATGCGAAATACGAGAAGTGAGATGTGTGAGAAATGAAAAATGTGTAAAAACTGAGACATGAGTGAGAAATGAGAGTGTGAAAAATGAGAGACGTGAGCAATGGAAATGGAAGATGTGAGAAATTACATGGGAAGGATTAAATGGAAAGTAACAAGAATAGCGAAGAAATGATAAGTGTAAGAAGTGCGAAATGAAAAGATATGAGAAATGATAAATGCGAAATGTGAAAAACTACAAATATATGAAAAATGAAAAAAGAGATGGAAAATGTGGGAGTGAAAAATAAGAGGTGTGAGAAGTGGAGGACGTAATAATGGGAAGAAATGAGAAACATGAAGATTAAGAAATGTGAAAAATGATTACTGTGATAAAGAAATGAGTATAAATGAGAAAAGTAAGAAATAAGAAACGCGAGGAATGAGAAATGTGACAAATGAGAAATATGAGAAAAGAAATACGAGAAATAAGCAATGGAAATGGAAGATGTGAGTGAGAAACTACAAATATGAGAAATGTGAGAAATGGGAAATGGGAAAAAACGAGAATTGAACGAAGAAATGATAAGTGTAAGAAATATGAAATTAAAAGAAATGACAAATGGGACATACGAGAAAAGAGAAATGTGAGAATATAAGTATAAAAAATGAGAGATGTATGAGAAATAAGAAATGTAAGATGTGAGACTATGAAAAATAAGAGAGTGAACAATGAGAGATGTGAGAAGTGGGAGATGTAATAAATGGGAACAAATGAGAATAAATGAGAAACATGAAGAATAAGAAATGTGAGAAATTAGAACTGTGGGAAATAACAAATATGTATTTTATTATTGCATTTTACCCTATTATTCTCTCTTTTAATCAAAAAGGAAAACACAGAATAAGATTCAAAAATAAAATGAGAGGTGTTCTATTTGAAAAAAATTGAAATGTCGATACATATTTGAAATTTGTAACAATGGATTTTTTTTTTCTAAACAACGTGGCAACGTCGCATCGGCATTTCTAAAATAATCTGTGTTATAAAGCTGGAGAAGACTAATTATTGAGATCAAGGGGCGTGTTCTTAGTGACTCACCCTGTATATTTTTCAATTTATCGTTTCCAAAATAATGATGGGTATAAAATTGTTTAAATATTTAAGAAAAAAGAAAAAAATTGATCAAAATTATGTTCTTCCTTTATTAATTTATTTTAAGTATTTTTACTTAGATGTACATAATGTTTCGCTTAAAAAATACATATCGCAGTTGCATTTTTTTTTAATAGGACACCCGATATATGCTGTGTATATTTAAATTTATTACAACAAAAATAAGGAAATGACATTGAATTCCATTATTAAAAAAACTTGTATTATCATGTACATATTTTTTTTATTTAGTTATGTGTATTTACTTGGTTTAATGGACATAAAAATGAGTAGTTTGATGAGAATATATTTATCGAGGGTATCTATCTAAATGTGCAGACGATTTTTTTCTTTTTTTTTCCATGGAACACCCCTCAATTATATCTAGTTTTTTTGGTAATATTGATTAATTTTTTTATAAATACCACTAAATTGTCGCTTAAATAATTTGTAACCAAATCTTCTTTATGTCGAATAAAAATACCTACCAAAAAAACGGAAGATTTACTATGACAAATTTGCGAGGGACAAAAACTCAATATCTTACACAATTTTTTCCTCGATTAAAAAAACTACGTGCGAACAACCACATGTTTCCATTAAAAAAAGCACAACTTTAGCGTGGAACATCGATTATTTCATGTATGCGGTACAAAAAAGCCACATCTAAGGATTACTTAGCGTCAACGTACTCAGAAAAACCTTGACTTTTTGTTTTCCCGTAGTGTTTTCGCATTGAGTTGTTATCATAACCGCATAGTTATTTGTTATTTTCAGCAACATGTCATTCCGAAACCGTCAGTGGTCCACTCCACCTAACGTTGACCCATCCCGCCATATATTTAGCCGCGTTAATTTTAAACTAAACTTTTCCAGATTTTCCGTAAGTTTATTATTTATCAAATAGCTCCCAAGATTGATGACCCGTTTTTTACACGAAAAAAAGTTTACATTGTATCATATTGTCCATCACTACTTGCGATGTTTTGTTAAAACATGCTCGATGCTGCAACAGATGTTCCCATATTTGTTTCTTTTTGGACATACCGATAAGAAACGCGACGAAGAAACGAACGATTGCAACATCTGGGTATTGCGATAATCATTTAAATTGCGTTGTAAAACCCACTCCTTGGTTCAAATTAATTAGTATTATTTATTTTAATTACTTTTCTGACATAACCGACACATTCCGCCATCCTACATAGCAATTTATTTCATTTTTGTAATTTCATTATCATTTATGAATTATTTATTCTGTTTTCTTTTTTGTTATTTTTTTTTCGTTTTGTTTTCGTAGAACTCCCCACCCTCCCCAGCGACTCAGAAATGGAGGTGGCTAGCCTGCCCACAAGCACAAATTTACCTCCAGTAGGGCACAAACCTAGCAAAAAGGAAGCAAAGTTGATGCAGCAACGTCTGGAGCGGTTAGCAAAAGTCAACATACACTTACACGGTAAGAAATATTCTAAACCACAAAATTTAAAAGTGGCAACTGATACTCGTACATCCCGTCTGCCGCATTTATCAAAGGTCAACACGTTTACACCCTCTGCAGCTAAAAGCTTTCCCACCAACGCAAGAAACACTCAATCATCTAAGAAATTACCAGCTGGAATGACTTCTCAGTTAACATCCCTCGCCACTAACACGTCGTTTTTTATTCATTTTCCCCGAAAACCGTTCTTATTTTACCTGCAAAAGCCGGAACACGATTCCGGGCTTTCATCCGGGGCGGGCGATAAATTGGGATTGTTTGTGCGCGCGAGAGGGTGAATTAATTGTTATTCGTCGGACGGAATTTATCGAATTGCAAAACTTCCTTGTATCGCTAAAAAAACGCGATGATGACGGTGCGCGGTGGCTATTGTTGTGTGATTAAAAAAACCGAAATGGTTTCCCGTTGATGGCTTATTATTCATCGTTGTTGTTTATGGATTTCGACGTTTTTAAGTCGACTTGGCAGAATGATATCTTGCTTAAACAGGAGTGACTTATCGCGAAGTTAATTTAAATTAAGTTAAATGAGGGAACAGCATTACGTACATTACAATGTCTGTCAATTTAAAGTTTTGAAGATCAATTAGCTCGGCTCATGGCTGATAACTTTTCGCCTGCTGGAAGTGCGTTCGAATTAAAATAACGTAATTAAGGGGAAGTGATTAGAGTGAAATCTGGAGTCGTGTGCGTAGGCGGGAAATTTTTATTTTGTGGTATTGTGCATGCGTTGTGGTGCTAGTTTCGTGTTTTCTTGACTTTACGACGTCTAGAATGCGGGTCAATTTTTATTAGATAGATAATCTCCGAAACTACTGGGATTGTTGTCAAATTTTGTATGAACAAAACGTTCAGGATGTTTTTAGACAAAAGTAGGCCATGTAAATCTAGTAATTTAGTTGGCAACCAATTTCGTATATGTAAAGATAAAGAAATCGAAAAAACAAGAAAGTAAAAAATCAAAAATTTAAAAATTCAAAATATTGAAAAATCCCAAAACTTAAAACACTGAAAATTTGAGAAATCGAAACATCGGAAACACGAAAAATCCAAAAATTTAGAAACGCCAAAAATTGAAACTTTGAAAAATCGAAAAATGTAAATACATAAATTAATTTCGAAAAATTGAAAAACCGGAAAATCTAAAAACAAGAAGGCTAAAAATCGAAAGATTAAGAAATCGAACAAAAAAATAAAAAATCTAAAGCTTAAAAATTCGAATTATTGAAAATTTAAAAAATCGAGTAACTAAAACATCAACAAATCGAAAAATCAAAAAACTGGAAAATCGAAAAATGTAAGATTTAAAAAATCGCAATATTTTGAAAAATCGAATAAGCAAAAAATGCTTAATGAAAAATGAAATTTATTTTCCATTCCAATGAATACGATTCAAAGCACTGAAGTAAGCGTTTATTATTTTAGTATTTAAATTTATCAACATTTTTAATTATATTATATAATTATTCTTAGCAGTTAAAATAAAATAATGAAAATGAGTAAATGTGGCAAATCAGCCTTAAGTGAACGTTAGTCATACGCACTGACACACAAACCGTTTTGTCAATGAATCAATTTATCCAAAGTAAAGAAAAAGTTTCATGGTTCACTTTTGTCTAAAAAGATACTGAAGGGTTTGTATATAGGGGTATTATGCTCCCCCGCCTTCTCCCTGTGGGTTGCCATAATTCCCTAAACACTCAGGTAGAATAAAATGGACAAGGATTAAAGTTTCCGTGCTTGATTACACAAATTGATTACACAGTGTTTTGTGATATCACACAATAAAATATTTTCAACTTAGAAAGTACTTTTCTTAAGATAAAAGTGAATTAATTAAGAACAATTCGAAAATAAAACAAGACGAAACCTCGGTATGAAAGATAAAAATTATCTTCTATTTTAATTTTGGGACTTTAAAATACCTCGACTTTTAAATTTTTCGATTTTTCGACTTTTCGTGTTTTTGATTTTTCGATTTGTTGATATTTTAGTTGCTCGATTTTTTAGCTTTTTGTTGTGTCATCTCAATCTTTCGATTTTTTGCGCTTTCGTTTTTAGATTTTTCAATTTTTCAGTTTTTCGATATTCCCGTTTTTCAATTTCCGATTTAATGTTGTCCTTTCGATTTTTCGCGTTCTCGTTTTTAGATTTTCCGGTTTTTCAAGTTTTCGAAATTAATTTTTCAGGTTTTCGATGTTTCGATTTTTCACTTTTTTTTAGGAAAATTTGTCAATTTTGAATTTTCCATTTTTCGATTTCGATTTCTCGATTTCTCTGTTTTTCATTTTTTGGCGTTTCTAAATTTTTCGATTTTTCGTCTTTCCAATAGCGAATTCTCGATTTCTCAATTTTTCGATTTCTCAAATTTTCGATGTTTAAGTTTTGGGATTTTTCTATGTTTCAATTTTTTGACTTCTCGTGTTTTTGATTTTTTACTTATTCGATTTTTCAATATTTTGCGATTTTTTAAATCTTACATTTTTCGATTTTTCAGTTTTTTGATTTGTTGATGTTTTAGTTACTCGATTTTTGAATTTTTCAGTATTTCGATATTTTCGATTTCTCAAATTTTTCAATTTTTAGCCACTTCCATTTCTTAATTTTTTGATCTTTCGCCTTCTCGATCTTTTGATGTTTCAATTTCGCGATTTTTCAATTTTTCGATTTCAGTTTTGGGATTCATGTGTTTAAATTTTTGAATTTTTTAATTTTTGGCGTTTATAAATTTTTGGAGTTTACGTCTTTCGGATGTCTCGATTTCTCAAATTTTCAGTCTTTAAGTTTTGGGATTTTTCAATATTTTTTTACTTGTTATTTGATTATGATACTCAATACAGTTATTATTATTATGTATTTCAACTTTAAATTTTTCAGTTTTTTGAGTTTTCGTGTTTTTAATTTTTTACTTATTCAATTTTTCAAAATATTGCGATTTTTTATATCTTACATTTTTCGATTTTTCAGTTTTTTGATTTTTCGATTTGTTGTTTTAGTTACTCGATTTTTTTAATTTTCAATATTTCGAATTTTTAACTTTTAGATTTTTTACTTTTTTGTTGTTTCAATGTCTCAGTCTTTCGTTTTTTTTGCTTTCCCGTTTTTATATTTTCCGGTTTTTCAATTTTTCGAAATTAATTTTTCAGTTTTTCGATGTTTCAATTTTTCACTCTGTCGGTTTATCGGCTTTTTTGAGTTAAAATTAGTCCATTTTGAATTTCCCCATTTTTCGATTTTTAGCCACTTAAATTTCTCAATTTTTTGATCTTTCGATTTCTCGATCTTTTGATGTTCCGATATCGCGATTTTTCAATTTTTCGATTTCTCGATTTCCCGGTTTTGGGATTGATATATTTAAATTTTTCGATTTTTCAATTTTTGGCATTTCTAAATTTTTCGATTTTTCGCCTTTCCGATGTCTCGATTTCTCAATTTTTCGATTTCTCAAATTTTCGATGTTTAAGTTTTGGGATTTTTCAGTAAGTATTTCGACTTTTAAATGTTCCAGTTTTTCGACTTTTCGTGTTTTTGATTTTTTACTTATTCGATTTTTCAAAATATTGCGATTTTTTAAATCTTACATTTTTCGATTTTTCAGTTTTTTGATTTTTCGATTTGTTGATGTTTTAGATACTCGATTTTTTTAATTTTCAATATGTGGAATGTTTAAACTTTGGGTTTTTTTACTTTTTTGATGTTCGATTTCTCAAGCTTTCGATTTTTTGATTTCCCGTTTTTATGTTTTCCAGTTTTTCAATTTTTCGACATTAATTTTTCAGGTTTTCGATGTTTCGATTTTACTTTTTCGGTTTATCATTTTTTTTTTTTAAGAAAATTTGCCAATTTTGAAATTTCCCACTTTTCGCTTTTTAGCCACTTCGATTTCTCAATTTTTCGACTTCCCGACTTCTCTATTTTTTGATGTTTCGATTTCGCGATTTTTCAGTTTTTCGACTTGTCGATTTCTCTGTTTTTCGATAATTCATTTTTTCGTTTTTTCGATTTCCCAAATTTTCAACGCTTCAGTTTTGGGATTGATGTGTTTAAATTTTTCAATTTTTGGCGTTTCTAAATTTTTCGATGTTTAACTTGTGATTTTTCAATAAGTAATTCGACTTTTAAATGTTTCAGTTTTTCCACTTTTCGTGCTTTTGATTTTTTACTTATTCGCTTTTTCAAAATATTGCGATTTTTTAAATCTTACGTCTTTCGATTTTCCAGTTTTTTGATTTTTCTATTTGTTGATGTTATAGTTGCTCGATTTTTTTAATTTTCAATACTTCGATTTTTTGCTTTCCTGTTTTTAAATTTTCCAGGTTTTCAATTATTCGCAATTAATTTTTCAGTTTTTCGATTTTTCACTTTTTCGGTTTATCAGTTTTTTTAAGTTAAAATTTGTCAATTTTGAATTTTCCCATTTTTCGAATTTTTGCCACTTCCATTTCTCAATTTTTTGATCTTTAGACTTATCGATTTTTTAATTTTTCGATTTCTAGATTTCTCAATTTTTTCGATAATTCATCTTTTCGATTTTTCAACGTTTCAGTTTTGGGATTAAAGTATTTAAATTTTTCGATTTTTCAAATTTTGACATTTCTAAATTTTTGGATTTTTCGTTTTTCCGATGTCTCGATTTTTCAAATTTTCAGTTTTGGCAGTTTTCAGTATCTATTTCGACTTTTAAATTTTTCGTGTTTTTGATTTTTTACTTATTCGATTTTTCAAAATATTGCGATTTTTTAAATCTTACATATTTCGATTTTTCAGTTTTTTGATTTTTCGATTTGTTGCTGATTTAGTTACTCGATTTTTTAAATTTTCAATATTTCTAATTTTTAAACTTTTGATTTTTTACTTTTTTGTTACTTCGATTTCGCAATCTTTCAATTTTTTGCCTTCTCGTTTTTAGATTTTCGAGTTTTTCAATTTTTCGAAATTAATTTTTCAGTTTTTCGATGTTTCGATTGTTCACTTTTTCGGTTTATCAGTTTTTGTAAGTTAAAATTTGTCAATTTTGAATTTTCCCATTTTTCGATTTTTGGCCACTTCCATTTGTCAATTTTTTGATCTTTCGACTTCTCGATCTTTTGATGTTTCGATTTTTCAATTTCTCCATTTTTTTCGATAATTCATCTTTTCGGTTTTCCAATTTTTCAACATTTCAGTTTTGGGATTGATGTGTTTAAATTTTTCAATTTTTGGCGTTTCTAAATTTTTGGATTTTTCGTCTTTCCGATGTCTCGATTTCTCAAATTTTCAGTGTTTAAGTTTTGGGATTTTCGACTTTACGCGTTTCAATTTTTTGACTTTTCTGATCTTGCACTTATTCGATTTTTCAAAATATTGCGATTTTTTAAATCTTACATTTTTCGATTTTTCAGTTTTTTGATGTTTTGATTTCGCGATTGTTCAAATTTTTCGATTTCGATTTTTCCATTTCTTAGTTTTTCGATTTTTCAATTTTTGGATTTTTCGATTTTTCAATTTCTCGATTAATCAATTTTTTGATTTTTCGACTTTTCGATTTTCGTCTTTCCGGTTTCTCGATTTTTAAATTATTAGATTTTTCGACTTTCTGTTTTTTCTTTGATTTTATATTTATTCGATTTTTCAAGATATTTCGATTTTTAAACCTTACATTTTTCGATTTTTTAGTTTTTTGTGTGTCTATTTGTTGAGGATTTAATTGCTCGCATTTTTAAATTTTAGATTTTTCACTTTTCTCTTGTTTCGATTTCTCAATCTTTCGATTTTTTGCTTTCTCGTTTTTGGATTTTCAAATTTTCGGAATTAATTTTTCAGTTTTTCGATATTTTGGTTTTTCAATTTTCGATTTATTGGGTTTTTTAAGCTTAAATTTTTTAATTTTGAATTTTCCCGTTTTTCGATCTTTGGCTATTTCAATTTTGCTATTTTTCGACTTGTCGAGTTATTGGTCTTTTGATGTTTCGATTTCGCGTTTTTCCAATTTTTCGATTTCTCAGTTTTTCGATTATTCGAGTTTTCTAAATTTTTGGGATTTTTCAAGATTTGAATTTTTAAATTTTTAGATTTTTCAAGATTTTTCTCTATTCGATATTTTAATTTTTGGACTTTTGGATTTTTTAGATTTTTAAAATTCCTGATTTTTCAATTTTTCATTTTTGACAATATTTTGATTTCTTCTTCGAAACATCACATATTTAAAAAAAGCAATGACGTTAGGAGCCTCGAAGAGTGTAAAATTCTTTCCAAATAAAGAAGTCCACGGATCCTCGAGACTTTTTAAAAGTATTTTAAAAACAAAACGCAAGAGGCCCCGATTTTTTTTTTTATATTAAAAAACACTAGGAGTTTGCAAGACTTTCTCTTTTAAACTCAAAAAATTGGTCTAAAGTTATTTAGACAGATCTTCCCTCGCCTATGAAGTAAAAATATATTATTAGTACATGCTTAACTTCAAGTGTTTTTGGTTTTACATCGAAAGAATGTGACAATTAAGCTACAATGCAGCAAAACGTTCTGAATATTATTTTGACTAAGTCGATGTTGTAATGACACTTTTTATTTTATCATTATTAAATAAATATAGGCGCCCGCAACATTACTGTATTCTAAAATTTTCGAGCCCACAAACCAGTTTTCGTATATTGGTACGAGTATAAAATGTGAAGATCTAAAAACGAGAAGGCGGAAAATCGAAATACTGAGAAATCAAAACATCAACATGTCGACAAATCAAAAAACTGAAAAATCGAAAAATGTAAGATTTAAAAAGGCGAAAAATTTAAAAGTCGAAGTATTTAAAAGTCCCCAAATCGAAATAGATAGAAGATAAATACAAGATAATTGCTTCCCTGATGGGTTTTTTTTTGAAAAAAATTCGGAAACTCCTGGATTCTCACTTTTGAAAGAATTTAAATTACACTCCAGAACCTGTGTTGTTTTTCTTTTTTAAAAATTTGGAAGGATGTCAGGAGCCTTTGGCGTCTTGTTTTAAAAAGAATTAGGAAACTCAAGAATTCTGAATGTTTTGTTTTTTGAAAAATTTGAAACGAACAAACCGTTTTGGCAATGAATTAGTTTATCCAACGTAAAGAAAAAATTTCATTGCTCAGTTTTGTCTAAAAAGATCCTGAACGGTTTATATGTAGAGTATCTCAGGTGTTTCTATTTTGAAGAATTGGGAAGAATTTTGGAGTTCCTAGAGTTTTGTTTTTGAAAAAATTAGAAAACGGAATCTCGGGGTTCAATGTTCTTATTTTTGAAAGAATTTCGAAAGCGCCTGGTGTCTTTTTTTTAATAATTCAGAAGAATCTCGGGAAGTATTTGAAAAATTCTCACTCGATTGTGTTAACTGATTCTTAAAAAAAAAGATTTTTTTGAAAATTATACCGTCCTAAAAATACAGAATTTCGCGGTCTTCAAAGCCAGCCTACAAACGTAAAATGAAGGATTATCCCGGATATGGTGGCCTCAGCGTTCTAAATTTGCTTTAATCTCAAAGTCGATAATGAAAAGCCCCTTATCTCAACATCGTCCACCTCACAATATCCAAAAGTCCATTACCTAAATTAGCACCGCTTTCAAAGAAAAGCCCAAATTTTTTACCGAATTGTGTAATTCCACCTGATCTCTTAAAACTATGTTACAGACGACAAAGAGTCCCGTAATAACCGAATGACAAACGAGAAACGCCAAGCATCGATCTCCTTTGATGTTCTTTCGTCTCTTTCAACCGTAATTTGTTTTAAAGCAATTGTTGACTGGAGAACCGAATGGAAGAATTTTTCTCACTGACGAATGAATTTGTAGCAATTTCAATTCAATTCGGTTTTAAGGTGAATACAAAACGAGGGAGAAACCGCAAATTTGTTTCTTTTAACGGCTAGAAATAACGTTGTTGTGGAGGAATTTTTAAGAATTTCTTAATTATGCGGCAGCTTTGTTTATAATAAATCTGGACTCTTTCGTAAAGGGTGTTGAAAATGCGAAGAGAAGTTATTTTTATTTCCCTTTGATGTCGCGATAAATAATGTTGTCTCAATTTTAATTTTAATTAAATTCGCTTTCGTCGTACCTTAGATTTATTTTGGATATTAAAAGAGCTTTCATCTTGTACTCAAGCTAATAGCCGGTGCGTATTTAGGAGAATATTTGAGAGGTCATGCGTTTGGAGACTCAACATTGACGCACTAACTTATTAGTGTAACACCTTTCTCAACTGTAAAAATAATCGCTGCACTCTCATAAACCCACACTTAACACCTCTCGAACAATAATTCGAAAAAGATCTTTTCCGCCGCTGCGTAAAATTTTATCTTCCGATCATGTTCGGGCCATAATTCCGAGCACCTACTAGAAAATTTTATGCGGCGATAAATCAAGGGGACGGAAAGTTGCAGCTTATTCTCAGGCGCTTCAAAAGTGGTCAGCGTATATTAAGAAAGTTCAAGCAACCCCAGTTAAATTAATATTCTGACTTTAAACCAGGCAATTACATTTTGATGACCATGTTAAACCGCTTATTTCGGCCCTTTAACGAACCAGTAAGTGGCGTGCCGTTACAAGGATCTAATCAGTTCCGTCATAATTAATGTTAGTCGACGTAATATGGAGCTTTCGCAAAGTTTCCGGACGAGTCGTTTTATTTGCAAATGCGTCTTGAGTTTGGGGTGTTGTTAATGTTTCTGGTCTTTTGCAGCTCTCTTCGCCGCGGTGGAGCATGGCCATTTGGAGAAGGCGAGGACTATTCTTGAGTCGACTGATGTAGATGTTAATAGGTGAGTACTTTCTGGAAAAACAGAAAAATTATGTAATTTTATTTACGATATTTGTTTCTATAATAATCTGCGGTTGTTTCTTCTGGAGGTCGGAAAAAGACTTATCAAAGACAAAAATCTTTTGCTTTATCGGCATTATGATGTCATGAAGGTTTTTTTAAGTACAAGTTCAACATTCTGGAAAGCATGAATTAAAAAAATTTGGAAGTCCAGATTTTTATTTTTTTATTATTATTATTTTTTTTTTTAAATTAAAGAATCTCAGGTTCCCCGTTTTTTTTTTTAAATTGAATTTGCAAGTATTCTGGGTGTTTTGTTTTTGAAAGAATTTGAAAAAAGAATCACACATGTGCCTGATGTTTTTTAAAGAATTTAAAAGAATTTTGCTCGCCCCCCCCTTTTCTAAAGAATTTGAAAATATCTGAGGAGCCCATAATGTTTTGTTTTTGAAAGAATTTAAAAGAATCTCGAAAATTCCTGATATTTTGTTAAGAATTTTAAAGCCTCGCGTTTCCCTAGCGCTTTGTCTTGAAGAACTTATTAGAATCCGAGGCTCCTAGTGTTGTTTTTGATATCGGGGCTCCGGGGCGTCTAGTTTTTGAAAAAATTTGAAAGAATCACAGGTATCTGGTATTTCTTTTTTGAAGAGTTTGAAAAAAAGTTCGAGCCCCTGGTGTTTTGTTTTTGAAAGATTTTGAAAAAAGAATCTTCGGGCCCCATGTTCTTGTTTTTAATAGAATCTCGAGAGCTCCTGGTGTCTGATTTTTGAAAGAATCTCGGGAATTCTTAGTGTGTCATTTTTTTCAGAATGTGAAAGAATCTAGTTTTTTTGGCGGATTTCAAAAAATTTCTGCGTTTTGTTTTTCAAAAAAATTAAAAATGAATCACGGGGCCTCTGGTGCCTTCTTTTTGAAAGATTTTAGAGAACTCGGGAATCCAAGATGGTCATTTTTTTGAAGTATTTGAAAGAATTTTCTCGAGGGCCCTTGATGTTTTGTTTGTGAAAGAATTTAAAAAAAACTTGCTCCCCTGGTGATGTTTTTTTGAAAGAATCTCGGAATCCTCTGTGAATTTAGAAGAATCTCGGGTTTTCTGATGGTTTTTTTAAATTTTAAAGAATTCTGAGCTCCCGATATTTTGTTTTTGAAAGAATTTTAACGAATCTTGGAGGCCATTTTGTTTTGTTTTTGAGAATTTGAAACAAATTCCCAGGGGTCCTTCGCGTCTTGCTTTTTTGTGTTTTTGAAATGTTTGAAAAAATCTTTTCTTTTTGAAGAATCTTGGGAATCCCTGTTGTCTTTTTTTTTTGAAGAATTTGAAAAAATCTCGGGCCTCCGCGTTTTCTTGTTTTTGAAAGAATTTTAAAATATCTGGAAAATTCTGAATGTTTTTTTTTTATTTTTGAAAAATTTGACAGAATTTCTTTGCACATGGTGGCTTGTTTCTGAAAAAAGTTGAAAGAATCCCACGCATCTCTGGTGTTCTTTTTTGAAGAGTTTGAAAGAAATTTGGAGCTCCTGGTGTTTTGTTTTTGAAAGAATTTAGAAGAATCTCAGGAATTCTTAGTGTGTCATTTTTACAGAATGTGAAAGAATCTAGATTTCTTTTGTGTTTTTTTTTTGACGAGTTTGAAAGAATTTCGGTGTTTTGTTTTTCAAAAAATTAAAAAAAAAAGTATCTGGGGGCCCTTGTTTTTGAAAACATTTAAAAGAATCTCTAAACCCCTGGTGACTGGTTTTTGAAAGAATCTTCTCGAGGGCTGTTGATGTTTTGTTTCTGAAAGAATTTAAAAGAATGTCGAAAATCCTTTTTTTGGAAGAATTAAAGAATCTGCAGAACGAACCCTGGTATTTTTTTTTAAGAATTTGAAAGAATCTCAGGTGTATTTTTTAAAGAATTTAAAAGAATTTCGAGAATTCCTGATATTTCTTTAAGAATTTTAAAGCCTCACGTTTCCCTAGCATTTTATCTTGAAGAACTTAATAGAATCCGGGGCTCCTAGTGTTGTTTTTGATATCGGGGCTTCGTGGTGTCTAGTTTTTGAAAAAATTTGAAAGAATCTCAGGTATATCTGTTTTTTTTGAACAATTTAAAAAAAAAATTGGAGCCCCTGGTATCTAATTTTTAAAAGAATTTAGAAGACTTTCGGGAATTCTTAGTGTGTCATTTTTTTCAGAATGTGAAAGAATCTAGTTTTTTTTTGACGGATTTGAAAAAAAATTCTGCGTTGTGTTTTTGAAAAAAATTAAAAAAAGAATCTCGGGGGCTCTGGTGCCTTGTTTTTGAAAGAATTTGGAAAACTCAGGAATCCATGATGGTCATTTTTTGAAGTATTTGAAAAAATCTTCTCGAGAGCCCTTCATGTTTTACTTGTGAAAGAATTTAAAAAAAAATGTTGCTCCCCTGGTGCTGTTTTTTTGAAAGAATCTCGGAAACCTCTGGTGCCTTGTTTTTAAAAGGATTTAGAAGAATCTCGAGAATTCTGAATGTTCTGTTATTTGAAGAATTTGAAAGAATCTCCGGTGTTTCTGATGGTTTTTTTTAAATTTTAAAGAATTCTGAGCTCCCAATATTTTGTTTTTGAAAGAATTAACAAAAAAAAAAATTGGGGGGCCCATGGAGTTTCGTTTTTGAAAGAATTTTAAAAAATATTGGAGGCTATTTTGTTTTGTTTTTGAAAGAATTTGAAAAAAATTCTCGGGGGCCCCTCGCGTCTTGCTTTTTTTTTTTTTGGAATGTTTAAAAAGATCTTTTCTTTTTGATTTTGTTTGTGAAAGATGTTTAAAAAAGAATCTTGGGAATTCCTATTGTCTTTTTTTGAAGAATTTGAAAAAGTCTCTGGGCTCCGCGGTATCTTGTTTTTGATAGAATTTAGAAAAATCTGGAAAATTCTGAATGTTTTTTTTTTTATTTTTTGAAGAATCTTTGCACGGTGGCTTGTTTCTGAAAAAAAATGAAAGAATCCCAGTTTGAAAGAAATTTGGAGCTCCTGGTGTTTTGTTTTTGAAAGAATTTAGAAGAATCTCGGGAATTCTCAAGTTTGAAAGAATTTCCGTGTTTTGTTTTTCAAAAAATTTAAAAAAAGTATGTGGGGGCCTCTGGTTCCTTGTTTTTTAAAGCAATTAAAAGAATTTCTATGACCCCTGATGACTGATTTTTGAAAGCATTTAGAAAACTTGAAAATTTGAAAGAATATTCTCGAGGGCTCTTGATGTTTTGCTTGTGAAAGAATTTAAAAAAATCTCGCTCCCTTGGTGGTGTTTTTCTGAAAATATCGCGGAATCCCCTGGTTTCTTGTTTTTGAAAGAATTTAAAAGAATCTCGCGAATTCTTTTTTTTTGAAGAATTTGAAGGAATTTAAATTAATCCCCAGAACCTCGGTTGTTTTCAGATTTTAGAAGGATCTAGGAAGCTTCTGGGTCTTATTAAAAAAAAAAAAAAAAATAGAAGAATCTCGTAAATTCTAAGTGTTTTGTTTTATGAAGAATTTTGAACTATCTCGGGCGTTTCTGATTTTTTTTTTTTGAAGAATTTGAAAGAATTTCGAGAATTTGTAGTGTTTTTAAAAATTTTTCAAGAATTTTGGCCTCCTGGTTTTTTGTGTTTGAAAGAATTAAAGAAAATATATCGGGGCCCTATGGAGTTTCGTTTTTGAAAGAATTCAAAAAAATAAAAGAATCTCAGAAAATCTTAGTTTTTATTAAAGAATTTGAAAGATTCTGGAATTCTAGTGTATTTGAATTTTTTTTGCCGCCCCTGGTGGTTTTTAAGATTTTGAAAGAATCTCGGGAATTCCTGTTGTCTTTTTTTGAAGTTTTTAAAAAAGTCTCGGTGCCCCATGGTTTCTTGTTTTTGAAAGAATTTAGAAAAATCTTGAGAAATCTGATTTTTTTTTATTTTTTTGAATAATCTTAAAGAATCTCGGGTGTTTTTTTTTTGTTTTTGAAAGAATTAAAAAAGAATATCAGGACCCCGTGGAGTTTTTTCTTTTTTTTTTTTTGAAAAATTTGAAAGGATCTAAGCCCCCATTTCCGGATTTCTTCTAAATTCAGCCTTGTTTTTGAAAAAATTAAAAAAAAAATCGAAAATTCTTAGTGTTTTTAAAAATTTTAAAAAATTCTGGTCTCCTGATATTTTGCTTTTGAAAGAATTAAAAAAATATATCGGAGCCGCATGGAGTTTCGTTTTTGAAAGAATTTAAAAGAATCTCAGAAACCGTTAGTATTTTTTTTAAGAATTTTAACGAATCTTGTAGAACACTCTTGACTTGCTGTGTATTTTTTTTAATAACTGAAAAAAATCTTTTCTTTTTTCTGTTTTGTTTGTGAAAGCTTTTTAAAAAAGATCTTGCCACACCTGGTAATTTTTAATATTTTGGAAGAATCTCGGGACCCCGAGGTTTCTTGTTTTTGAATGAATTAAAAAAAATCTCGAGAATTCTGAATGTTTTTTTTATTATTTAAAAGAATTTTGAGAATTCTTAGTGTTTTTTTTAAGATTTGAAGGAATTCTGGGCTCCTGGTCTTTTGTTTTTGAAAGAAATAAAAATTAATATTGGGAGCCCGTGGAGGGTTTTTTTTTTGAAGAATTTGAAAGGATCTCTGGTGTCTTATTTTTAAAAGAATTTAGAAGAATTTCAAGATTTAAAAGAATTTCGGGAATTTTTAGATTTTTAGTGTTTTTAAAAATTTCGAGAATTCTTAGAATTTTTTTTAAGAATTTGAAAGAATTCTGGGCTCCTGGTCTTTTGTTTTTGAAAGAACTAAAAAAGAATATTGGGGCCCCGTAGAGTTTTTTTTTTTTTTTTGAATAATTTGAAAGGATCTTTCTTGTTTTTGAAAGAATTTCGAGAATTCTTAGTGCTTTTAAAAAAATTGAAGAATTCTGGGCTTTTGATATTTTGTTTTTGAAAGAATTAGAAAAAATATATCGGGGCCCCATGGAATTTCGTTTTTGAAGAAATTGAAAAGAATAAAATAATCTCAGAATTTTAACGAATC